TCTGTCTGTCATCTGTCTGTCTGTCTGTCTGTCATCTATCTTCTTTCTTTCTATCTATCTGTCTGTCATCTATCTGTCTGTCTGTCTGTCATCTATCTGTCTGTCTGCCTGTCTGTCTGTCATCTGTCTGTCATCTATCTGCCTGTCTGTCTGTCATCTCTCTCTCTCTCTCAGCTAGTTTCCAAGGAAATATATCTAATTTTCATTTCATTTAACGTGATTTACTAAAACAACTAGAAATAAAATTACAAATGAATAAAAACTATAAAGACAAGACATAAAAAAATACAAATGACAAACACACAACACAATTACTAAAACTTTAGCAAAAATGAAAATGGAAAATATACAAAAATAACTATTAAAATAAAATAAATAAATAAATAAATAAAAACTGAATTCAGACCATTATTAAACAATAATAATATCTCAATGACACTAAAATAACACTGACGCCCACCCCTTGTGACGTTACTAACAGAATGATTCATTCTCGCCCCTCTCTCTCTCCTTCCGGTCTGACCTTTGAGTCCTTCATATTTCCCCTCATGGTTTTGCTCTTTCGCCCTCCTCCATTATCTGAGATGAAGTCTCTCCATCATCCCATCAGTTAGAAAGAAAAAACCCTTGTGGCCCAAATACCTTTTCCTTCTTGACTGTGTAAAATACGTCAGTGTTTGCCTCAGGCGGCCCGTCTACTATTGTCTGTCCTGTTCATATTCCAGTCATTTTTCCTGAGACACACACGCGCTGTTGCTCAGTCGACTGCCGCATTAAACAAATACACACAAGCACTCCTTTGAAAACCTGTAATGACTCATTTTTCCACCCTTGCCTTGCCAGTCATCTCAGATTGACTCTGGAGAAAAGGTAAGACTCTGAGAGAGCGCAGCGGCTAACAACAAACTGCGCTGATTTATAGACACTAAATGTCACCGAGTCGCTCATGAATCCCAAACACCATCGTTTTATCGCTACTGGAACTAAGAGTAGGAATATTACAACCTGAATCAATGTTCAATATCTCATGCAGCACAATTCAGATGACAATTATTGTAAAGTATAGTCATTTCAGGCCCAAATCATGCAAGGTAATGCAAACGTTATTAGGTACGCAAGCTCAATTGTATAATAGATTAAATGTACACTACTGTTTAAATGTTTGGGGTTAGTAAGCTATTTTAAAAATAAATTTTATCAAATTTTATCAAAGACACATTAAATTGATCAAGAGTGACAGTATAGAGATTTAGAATGTTACAAAAGATGCTGTTTATCAGAAAATCCTGAAACAGTTTGTACAAGCTTCACAGCTGCTTTCAACGTTGATAATAACAAGAAATGTTTGTTGAGCAGCAAATCATCATATTGGACTGGTTTCTGAAGGATCATGTGACACTGAAGACTGGAGTAATGATGCTTTGCATCACAGGAATAAATGACATTTTAACGTTGATTCAAATAGAAAAAAGTTATTTTAGATTCTAATGATTTCAAAATATTAATAAATAAATGCATCCTTGGTGAGTTTATTCTTACAGACGCTAGACTTTTGAATGGTGGTGTACATGTTTGCTCAATGGGATGGCAGTTCTGAATGTGTACCAGCATAAGCTGTGTGTCTCTGATACAGTGTTACATGTGATTACTTACTCTAAATACACACTCTCTCTCTCTTTCTTTTTCTTCATCTCTCTCCAGATGGTACTTTGGAAAGATCACACGCAGGGACTCCGAGCGCCTCCTCTTGAGTCTGGAAAACAGGAGAGGAACTTTCCTGGTCCGAGAGAGTGAGACAACCAAAGGTCATTGAATATGAACAGTACAAACGCTGAACACTTTAAAAAAAAAATTTATTTATTTGATCTATTTATAAGTAGTTTTGTGTGTGTGTGTGTGTGTGTGTGTGTGTGTGTGTGTGTGTGTGCGCGCACAGGGACAATGCACGTTAATAAATGTTTCTGTAAATGCACCAGATTGAACCCAAAGGTTATTTTTCATCTGTAGTCCCTGGACAGTGTTACAAGTCTTCCTAAAATGAAAATGTACAGAAATAGACTATTATTAAAATTAAAAACCAAAAAAAAAAGGAGCATAGCATTAACACAGACATATATGGCATACACATTATATTAAATATATAAATTCATCCAAAGGCACAATACAATTTTTTATTTATTATTCATTTAATATTAAAATAAAAATAATTATTAAAATGATATCCACATAAAAAGGAGCAAAGCAAAAAACACACAAATATACGGCATACACAGTATATTAAATATACAAATCCATTCAGATGCACAATAAATTATTTTATTTTATTTAATTTAATATTAACATAAAAATAATTATTACAATTATATCCACATAAAACAAGGAGCAAAGCAAAAGCACAAAAAATATATATTTCATACACAGTATATTAAATATATAAATCCATCTAACAGCATAAAAGCACAATAAAATATTAAGCTCTTTATCATTAATTAATTAATAAACAGCAATAAGAATTATTAAAATTGAATCCACATAAAATACTAAAAGGAGCAAAGCAAAAAACTAAATATATGGCCTACAGAGTATATTAAATCCATCTAATACCATAAAATCACAATAAAATGTTTTATTTTATTTATTAAATATAAAAAGAATTGTATTATTATTACTACTATAGCAAATAATTTATTTATAATTTATATTGTTTATTAATTTAAAATAATTATAATGATAATAGTAATACATATATTTTAACATTTTTAATTTAGATAAATTGTCATTTTTTAATTTTAATTCTGTTTACCACAGTTTTGTGAATTAATATAGAATTAATATTTTATCATTACCCTTTGTCTGGTGTCACAGTGTTGATTCAAAGGCCAAACTGTAGGGATGAATGGAAAATTGTGTCAGAATGAAATCTAGGGAATGAAACTCCGTTCTTTCCAGTAGAGCTTGGCACTCATAACATCAGGGTCCAAGAGTTCAACATCCCAGGGAATAGTTTTTTCCTTAACTTTTCTTTTTTTTTTTAACGAAAGCATCTCTCCAAAAAAAAATTCCAGTCAAATTCAGAGACCACAGCTACTGTAACAGTTGCATAATAAAGAAACTATTCATATACACAGCGACGACAAATAACCAACACCAGTGTGGAGGAAATTGCTCATGCTTGTGTCTACATTGAGGAAATTGCATTTCAGGATTTCAGATCAGAACAAAGTGCACGTTCAGTTGAATTCCCCTTTTCTGCATTCCTCATCTCCTCCCTGCAGCCTTTCTCTCTCTAAACACTGTAAAGAGCCACGCTCCATATATGGCCGTTTACACAAACAACGTTCATCTGAGATGATATGTGAAGAGTGCATATGGCTGCGTACGACAGTATACGAAGGTCAGAGAAGTGCTTGCAGGGATGAAGAGCGAGAAGTAGGTCAAGCGTATAATCGTGAGCCATAGCACACGGCTCATACGATCAGCGAGAGGCTCACCGAGAGAGACTGAAGATGAGTCAATCCCCAAAGAAACCAGGGAGCAAGTGACCGACAGAGTGAATGAATGAGTGTGATGACCACAGCGCCCACTTCAGAGCATTTTACACAGTGTTTATTAACCCTATGAAGACCTGGGGTCTGTTTCATAAAACAAGTTTACCAAACAAGCCAGGCTTATTTCAGTTAGCCTGACTTATTGTCTGCTGATATGGTTCAAAATAATTCAGACTAACTGAAATAATGTTTTATAAAACAGGCCCCAGAATCATCAACGTGATCAAAATGTTCCTGAAAGGCCTGTTATGCACCATCTACTACATACTTTCTGTCGTCTGATTGATTTGAGTTGATACTTTTTTACCAAGTAAAAGGCCTTTTAAAGGGACAGTTCACCCAAAAATGACAATTCTTCTGTTGAACACAAAAGACGATATTTTGAAGAATGTTGAAGAAGCCAAACAGTTGACGCCGGTAGCCATCGACTTCAATAGTATGGAAAAAATACTATGGAAGTCAATGGGGACCAGAAACTGCAAATGAAAGAAAGAAACAAATGCACCAAATGGATGTTTTTGCTCAGATTAGTCGACTTCGAGGAAAAATCAAATACTACAAAAGTGTCGAATCTGGCACCCGTCATACTAATCTAACAGTTTCAAATCTAAATGTTTGTTAGTGCCGTTCATGTCATCCGCTTCACCTCTCAAATGTGTTCTTTGTGGTTTTTTTAGGTGCCTACTGTCTTTCCGTTCTGGATTACGACAACGTCAAGGGTCTAAATGTCAAACATTACAAGATCAGGAAGCTGGACAGCGGGGGATTTTACATCACGTCGCGCACTCAGTTCAGTACATTACAGCAGCTGGTCAACCACTACCACCGTGAGTCGCTTTCTCATAGACCTGCTCCTTTCTGAATGTCTGTGAAGGGAAGTGATACAGACTGGTATTTCTGGAAGTGGGAACTCAAGTTTTTGCAAAATAAGAAGACTGTTAGATCTATAAAAAATCTATTGCATAAAGCAATTACATAATGACTCATCCTTTACTTCTTATGCTGCCCTAAATATAGCATTAATGGGCCCTAAAACCCTGCTAAGAGAAAGATGTAAGATGCTTACCTATTTCAGTTATTTATGGGTATTATTATTATTTGTATTAATATATTATTATTTATTGTCAATTATAATAATTTTGTAGATTATGTAAATTATTATTATTATTGAAAAATAATAATACAAAAATAATTATAATGCATTGAAGGCATTGAAGGTATGTTGTTGTTAATTAAAAATGTATTTTTAATTAACAAATTTATTAATTTGTTAATATGGTTACATTTATGTATGTTAGAATAAGTTATAAAGCATAAGTATTATATAGTAAGTTGTGTAAGTATTTACTTATTTTTTTTTTATTCCGTTTTATTTATTTTAAATTATTTAATAATATATTAAATATTAATCTTCATTTATTAAGGTATACTAAAAATATTAAAATAATTGTATTATTATTAAAAATAATAAGTTATATTTATTTATTATTTTTAATTAAAACAATTATTTGACTAGTAATAATACATTTCATTAACTTTTTATAACATTTTAATTCTGCAACAAAAGCATCTTTGTGCATTTAATACAGAATCCGAATGAGCCAGAACTACCCCCCAAAAAAAGAAAATACTATTGCAGTAACAATGCAAAATTTTTAACCGAAAAAAAACAAAACATAAACACGCTCCTTTCTGTCTGTGTCCGTCACAGAGCACGCAGACGGCCTGTGTCACTGTCTGACTGACGTGTGTCCCGTGCTGAAGCCTCAGACTCAGGGCCTGGCACGGGACGCCTGGGAGATCCCACGGGACTCTCTGAGACTGGACGTCAAACTTGGCCAGGGCTGCTTCGGAGAGGTCTGGATGGGTAAGACTGCTTCTTTCAACTTCCTTCCTTCAAAAACTAAAGCTTTGTGAGTTAAATTAGAAGGTCACCAGTACAAAATAGCACAGCTGTGTAATGATACAAGCAAGCGTTCACAGTGTCTTTTTTTCCCATCAGGCACTTGGAACGGCACGACATGCGTGGCCATCAAGACCCTGAAGCCTGGCACTATGTCTCCTGAGGCCTTCCTGCAGGAAGCACAGGTGATGAAGAAACTCCGGCACGAGAAGCTGGTGCAGCTTTATGCCGTCGTCTCGGAGGAGCCCATTTACATCGTCACTGAGTACATGGGACAAGGTCAGTACAGAGATCCAGTGAACTATATTGGGCCAAAGATGTCTAAGAAATGAGAACTCGCTGTAAGATGTGTAAATAGAGCATCTGGTTATAGCAGCTTTGTGGTGAGGTCTGCCAGTAAAGGTGGGAATAGACATGTGACGCTGTGATTTCTGTTTTCACAGGAAGTCTGCTGGATTTCCTGAAGGGTGACATGGGGAAAATGCTGCGGTTGCCTCAGCTTGTGGATATGGCCTCTCAGGTACTTTCATACTGGCATTATGATAGGATATCTAATAATGAAATCACAAAGAAAAATACACTTTTTTTATTTAAGTTTTGATACTTAAATAAAAAGTAATATAATTGGAAACGTTATATTAGAAAATATACATTACTGATCAAAAGTTTGGGTGTGGTAAGTTTTTTTTTTTTTTTAATGTTTTGAAAGACATCTTATGTTTTCAATTTGAATGTATTATAAAATGTAATTTATTCCTGTGATCAAAACCGAATTTTCAGCATCTATCTATCCATCTATCTATATAAAAAAAAAATTTCAGAATTTTTTATGAATTGAAAGTTCTTTAGTGCCTTAATAATTGAATGCATCCTTTCTGAATATAAGTATTATATTATATTATATTATATATTATATTATATTATATTATGAAACTGAACACATTTTCATGACTCCAAAACTGACTGAAAATGTTGAAGAAAAAGTATTATTTACTTTACTAAAAATAATAATTGCGAATTTTATGTTTGTTGTGTGTGTGTGTGTATTTTTTATATATATATATATATATATATACTTTTTTTCATGACTCCAAGACTGACTAAAGTAGCCACAAATCGATTTTAGTTTTAATTTTTGATACAGAATCTTACAACCCACTGTAATTAAACATGTAAATGCCACTACATAACAATAGCAATGACCCTAGGCTACTCTGAAACATTATATACATTTGCAATAAATAGATAAACAAATAGTAGTTCCTGCAGCTCAAACAGTACAGCACAGCGCCAATGCCAAGGTCATTATCTTGAAAGCAATGTATGTCGCTTTGGATAAAAGTGTCTGCCAAATTCATAAATGTAAACGTAATTAAATTAACACTCATAGAGTAAAAAATAAAAATCTAAATAAAAAACTATATAACCCTGTACTGAAGGAGGAACTATACTTAGAGACTTGAATACTGTAGAGCGCATCACTAAAAACAGCATTGTGGTGGTGGTTTTTGCATGGCCAAGCGCCGCTGACACTGTCTTCATAATGTATATGAATCTATTTCTATTCTGTGGATACTCTGGAGGGTGGCGTTATAATTTATGTGTTGTCCTCAGATCGCCTCTGGGATGGCGTACGTGGAAAGAATGAACTATGTGCACAGGGACCTCAGAGCTGCCAACATCCTGGTGGGTGATAACCTGGTGTGTAAAGTGGCTGACTTCGGCCTCGCTCGACTCATCGAGGACAACGAATACACAGCCAGACAGGGTGAGCACTGCGACTCCGTCCTTCTCCATGTTCTTCACATCTTCACTTGTTTCCTGAGGCCGTAACGTCTCTGTCTCATTTTTAAGACTTAATGCTGTTGCCTTTTCTGCGCTTCGACCTTAATTGAATCAGTTTAATCATGATGACAGGCCTCTCTTAAATCATTATTACAACAGGAGCCAAGTTTCCCATCAAGTGGACTGCGCCAGAGGCGGCGCTTTACGGCCGCTTCACCATCAAATCTGACGTGTGGTCGTTTGGGGTCTTACTGACGGAGCTGGCGACCAAAGGCAGGGTGCCTTATCCAGGTACTACTGCTCTACAGTCAAATATGAATCAGTCACCAGCTCATCTTATTAAAAAAAAAATGTATTCTAAATTATCTCAAATATTTATATATATAAAAATATATATGTGCAATTACGTATTGAAAAAAGCACTATATATGTTTTGAAAAGTAATTAATTTAAAAGTATAAATTATTCTATACATTATTTTAAAACTATTAATTTTAAGTTTTCCCATTGAGTCCAGTGCAGGGTTCATCTTCTCTAAAAAACAAAAACAAAAAAAAATGAATATTTTAAATAATAATCTTTTATATTATTCTATAAATTATTATTTAAGAATTATTATGTCACCCAAAATGTAATAAAATAAAAGTATAGATTATTAAGCTATAATAATAATATTTATATATGTATATATTTATGTGTGTGTGTGTGTGTGTATCCTAAAAAAATCATTTTTTACATTTTTAATAATATATATAAATCATTATTATCCAATGCAAATCCAATGATCTTTTTTTTTTTTTAACTCTAACAAAATTTAATTATTTTAAGCTTACAAAACAATTACATTCATATTATTTTCACTTAGAATTATTCACACTAAATCCAGCACATTGAGTTTGTGCTTGTGAGTTTGAGAATGTTTTTGAGGATTTTTTTCCACTGGCCATAATGTAATAATTTGTTTTAAAATATGTTGTTGTTGTTATTATTATTATTTCCAAATTATTCACATCGAGTCAAATGCCCGGGAATAAATGTAATACTTTTAAACTTAAAAGAAATCCCATTCAACACAGTGATTTTTTAAATTTTTTATTATTATATTTAAAATGTATATTTAGAAGAAAGGGAAAAAAACGTTTTTGAGGGTGTGTTTATGACAATCTAACGCATAATATTGTCATATTAAATGAAATTTTAAAGAGCCCTCTGCGCAAAGGACACATGAAAGCATTTCCGGGTGTCCGTCACAGAGCACGCAGACGGCCTGTGTCACTGTCTGACTGACGTGTGTCCCGTGCTGAAGCCTCAGACTCAGGGCCTGGCACGGGACGCCTGGGAGATCCCACGGGACTCTCTGAGACTGGACGTCAAACTTGGCCAGGGCTGCTTCGGAGAGGTCTGGATGGGTAAGACTGCTTCTTTCAACTTCCTTCCTTCAAAAACTAAAGCTTTGTGAGTTAAATTAGAAGGTCACCAGTACAAAATAGCACAGCTGTGTAATGATACAAGCAAGCGTTCACAGTGTCTTTTTTTCCCATCAGGCACTTGGAACGGCACGACACGCGTGGCCATCAAGACTCTGAAGACTGGCACTATGTCTCCTGAGGCCTTCCTGCAGGAAGCACAGGTGATGAAGAAACTCCGGCACGAGAAGCTGGTGCAGCTTTATGCCGTCGTCTCGGAGGAGCCCATTTACATCGTCACTGAGTACATGGGACAAGGTCAGTACAGAGATCCAGTGAACTATATTGGGCCAAAGATGTCTAAGAAATGAGAACTCGCTGTAAGATGTGTAAATAGAGCATCTGGTTATAGCAGCTTTGTGGTGAGGTCTGCCAGTAAAGGTGGGAATAGACATGTGACGCTGTGATTTCTGTTTTCACAGGAAGTCTGCTGGATTTCCTGAAGGGTGACATGGGGAAAATGCTGCGGTTGCCTCAGCTTGTGGATATGGCCTCTCAGGTACTTTCATACTGGCATTATGATAGGATATCTAATAATGAAATCACAAAGAAAAATACACTTTTTTTATTTAAGTTTTGATACTTAAATAAAAAGTAATATAATTGGAAACGTTATATTAGAAAATATACATTACTGATCAAAAGTTTGGGTGTGGTAAGTTTTTTTTTTTTTTTTAATGTTTTGAAAGACATCTTTTGTTTTCAATTTGAATGTATTATAAAATGTAATTTATTCCTGTGATCAAAACCGAATTTTCAGCATCTATCTATCCATCTATCTATCTATCTATATAAAAAAAAAAAATTCAGAATTTTTTATGAATTGAAAGTTCTTTAGTGCCTTAATAATTGAATGCATCCTTTCTGAATATAAGTATTATATTATATTATATTATATATTATATTATATTATATTATGAAACTGAACACATTTTCATGACTCCAAAACTGACTGAAAATGTTGAAGAAAAAGTATTATTTACTTTACTAAAAATAATAATTGCGAATTTTATGTTTGTTGTGTGTGTGTGTGTATTTTTTATATATATATATATATATATACTTTTTTTCATGACTCCAAGACTGACTAAAGTAGCCACAAATCGATTTTAGTTTTAATTTTTGATACAGAATCTTACAACCCACTGTAATTAAACATGTAAATGCCACTACATAACAATAGCAATGACCCTAGGCTACTCTGAAACATTATATACATTTGCAATAAATAGATAAACAAATAGTAGTTCCTGCAGCTCAAACAGTACAGCACAGCGCCAATGCCAAGGTCATTATCTTGAAAGCAATGTATGTCGCTTTGGATAAAAGTGTCTGCCAAATTCATAAATGTAAACGTAATTAAATTAACACTCATAGAGTAAAAAATAAAAATCTAAATAAAAAACTATATAACCCTGTACTGAAGGAGGAACTATACTTAGAGACTTGAATACTGTAGAGCGCATCACTAAAAACAGCATTGTGGTGGTGGTTTTTGCATGGCCAAGCGCCGCTGACACTGTCTTCATAATGTATATGAATCTATTTCTATTCTGTGGATACTCTGGAGGGTGGCGTTATAATTTATGTGTTGTCCTCAGATCGCCTCTGGGATGGCGTACGTGGAAAGAATGAACTATGTGCACAGGGACCTCAGGGCTGCCAACATCCTGGTGGGTGATAACCTGGTGTGTAAAGTGGCTGACTTCGGCCTCGCTCGACTCATCGAGGACAACGAATACACAGCCAGACAGGGTGAGCACTGCGACTCCGTCCTTCTCCATGTTCTTCACATCTTCACTTGTTTCCTGAGGCCGTAACGTCTCTGTCTCATTTTTAAGACTTAATGCTGTTGCCTTTTCTGCGCTTCGACCTTAATTGAATCAGTTTAATCATGATGACAGGCCTCTCTTAAATTATTATTACAACAGGAGCCAAGTTTCCCATCAAGTGGACTGCGCCAGAGGCGGCGCTTTACGGCCGCTTCACCATCAAATCTGACGTGTGGTCGTTTGGGGTCTTACTGACGGAGCTGGCGACCAAAGGCAGGGTGCCTTATCCAGGTACTACTGCTCTACAGTCAAATATCACCAGCTCACCAGCTCATCTTATTCAAAAAAAAATGTATTCTAAATTATCTCAAATATTTATATATATAAAAATATATATACGTATTGACGTATTGAAAAAAGCACTATATATGTTTTGAAAAGTAATTAATTTAAAAGTATAAATTATTCTATACATTATTTTAAAACTATTAATTTTAAGTTTTCCCATTGAGTCCAGTGCAGGGTTCATCTTCTCTAAAAAACAAAAACAAAAAAAAATGAATATTTTAAATAATAATCTTTTATATTATTCTATAAATTATTATTTAAGAATTATTATGTCACCCAAAATGTAATAAAATAAAAGTATAGATTATTAAGCTATAATAATAATATTTATATATGTATATATTTATGTGTGTGTGTGTGTGTATCCTAAAAGAATATTTTTTTACATTTTTAATAATAATAATAATAATGAATTCATGTATTCCATTTGTTTAAAGAATGGTACATTCTTGTTATTGTTCTTTCAAAAAAGATGGAATAAATAAATTATATAAAAAATGTTTTTTTAAGGTGTATATATATATATATATATATATATATACATGTACACACACATATATATATATATATATATATATATAATAAATAAAACTGCATTGGATAATAATAATTTATGTATGTATATGTGTGTGTGTGTATATATATATATATATATATAAATCATTATTATCCAATGCAAATCCAATGATCTTTTTTTTTTTTAACTCTAACAAAATTTTATTATTTTAAGCTTACAAAACAATTACATTCATATTATTTTCACTTAGAATTATTCACACTAAATCCAGCACATTGAGTTTGTGCTTGTGAGTTTGAGAATGTTTTTGAGGATTTTTTTCCACTGGCCATAATGTAATAATTTGTTTTAAAATATGTTGTTGTTGTTATTATTATTATTTCCAAATTATTCACATCGAGTCAAATGCCCGGGAATAAATGTAATACTTTTAAACTTAAAAGAAATCCCATTCAACACAGTGATTTTTAAAAAATTTTATTATTATATTTAAAATGTATATTTAGAAGAAAGGGAAAAAAACGTTTTTGAGGGTGTGTTTATGACAATCTAACGCATAATATTGTCATATTAAATGAAAATTTAAAGAGCCCTCTGCGCAAAGGACACATGAAAGCATTTCCGGTTGTTCCTCTCTGCTGATAACCCACATCCTCTGCCTGGTTAAAATGTGCCTGCACCACAATCTGACACCTGACCCACATCCACACTGCTTGACGTGTCTCCTCCGCTCAGGTATGGTGAACCGGGAGGTGCTGGACCAGGTGGAGCGCGGCTACAGGATGCCCTGTCCCGCCGAGTGCCCCGAATCCCTGCACGAGCTGATGCTGACCTGCTGGCGCAAGGAGCCCGAGGAGCGGCCCACCTTTGAATACCTCCAGAGCTTCCTGGAAGACTACTTCACCTCTACTGAACCACAGTACCAGCCGGGCGAGAACCTCTAGAGATGCAGATCCAGTCAAGTGTGAGAGCAGCGAAAAGGATATCATTTCCCTGACCGGGAAAACGAACGCGGGATGTTTGTGGCATAACCCAGCCAATACTGATCCACACGTGACGACAACGTCGCATCCAGCTAAATCAGCCCATTTAAAGCAAATTACTGGGTTTTCACATGGTCTCAGTGTTACAGCATTATAATCGCATGTTTCTCCACTTTCATCGCAGATGAGCTGCAAACAGCAAGACAAGATGCATCTTTTCTGCAAAGAAATTCAATAACAAATTGCTTCTTCAGCCGTCGTCGTTTCTGCTGATAATTGATCCCTAGCTGTTTTCTTGACCTCGATATACCACCACTTCTCTTCTAAACCCTTTTAGCGGATGCTCCAGATCTGTCATTCATCCTCCTCCCACAATCCCTCACTTCTATCCTCTCCCATCCCCCTTCAAACCCCCAAAGCGTCCGCTCCGTCAGCTCTGGTGTTCGTTGTGAACCCTGCGACCCGCTCTCAAGCTCAGATGGACGAGGTTTGATCACCAACATCGCATGTTGGGAGACATCTGTGACCGCAGCTCTCTCGTGACGAACGGACGTTCCCGTTAATGTCTTCCAATAGATATCCAGGGGCTGTATCTGAACGTGGTATTTTATGCCTTTTAATGGTAGAAATGAGCTTTTTGTCCCACTATGCTTGTTTGTTTCTTTTGTATCGACCTGGATCAACTGGAATAAGAACGTGATTGGTTGAACACTGGTCACATGATTGGAAGTCGTTCTGAATTCGGAATGATGGAAACGAAACATTCTTTCTTTTAATATGGATCGTTCAGAGTGTGGTTTCATTTGATACAGTTATTCTTAATGAATTAATGTATTCCATCTTTTTTTAAAGAATGATAAATTCCATTCTAAAAAAGATGGAATAAATGAATGAATTATAATTATTTTAAAAAATTCACTCACAGGACATAATAATTAAAAATATATATATAAATTATTATTATTCACATTGAGTCCAATGCAGGGTTTTTATCTCTAACAAAAAATACTTATAAACTTACAAAAACATTACATTCAAATAATTTTCACTTATAATTATTCACACTAAATCCAACACATTGAGTTTAGACATTTCTATTGTTAAAAAAAGAAAGAAAAAAAATTTGGGGGGATATTTTTAGGCCATAATGTCAAATTGTAAAAAATATTCATTATTATTATTATTTCCAAATGATTCACATTAACTCCAATGCAGGGTTTTCATCTCTACAAATGTTTTAAAAATGTTTTTGAGGGTGTTTTTTATTTTATTTTTTATTTTTTATAACACACAAGCCACATTGCCCGTATTAAACAACATTTTAAAGAGCCCCCCTCCACAAAGGGCACATGAAAACATTTCCGGTAGTTCCTCCCTGCTGACAACTCACATCCTCTGCCTGGTTAAAATGTGCCTGCACCACAATCTGACACCTGACCCACATCCACACTGCTTGACGTGTCTCCTCCGCTCAGGTATGGTGAACCGGGAGGTGCTGGACCAGGTGGAGCGCGGCTACAGGATGCCCTGTCCCGCCGAGTGCCCCGAATCCCTGCACGAGCTGATGCTGACCTGCTGGCGCAAGGAGCCCGAGGAGCGGCCCACCTTTGAATACCTCCAGAGCTTCCTGGAAGACTACTTCACCTCTACTGAACCACAGTACCAGCCGGGCGAGAACCTCTAGAGATGCAGATCCAGTCAAGTGTGAGAGCAGCGAAAAGGATATCATTTCCCTGACCGGGAAAACGAACGCGGGATGTTTGTGGCATAACCCAGCCAATACTGATCCACACGTGACGACAACGTCGCATCCAGCTAAATCAGCCCATTTAAAGCAAATTACTGGGTTTTCACATGGTCTCAGTGTTACAGCATTATAATCGCATGTTTCTCCACTTTCATCGCAGATGAGCTGCAAACAGCAAGACAAGATGCATCTTTTCTGCAAAGAAATTCAATAACAAATTGCTTCTTCAGCCGTCGTCGTTTCTGCTGATAATTGATCCCTAGCTGTTTTCTTGACCTCGATATACCACCACTTCTCTTCTAAACCCTTTTAGCGGATGCTCCAGATCTGTCATTCATCCTCCTCCCACAATCCCTCACTTCTATCCTCTCCCATCCCCCTTCAAACCCCCAAAGCGTCCGCTCCGTCAGCTCTGGTGTTCGTTGTGAACCCTGCGACCCGCTCTCAAGCTCAGATGGACGAGGTTTGATCACCAACATCGCATGTTGGGAGACATCTGTGACCGCAGCTCTCTCGTGACGAACGGACGTTCCCGTTAATGTCTTCCAATAGATATCCAGGGGCTGTATCTGAACGTGGTATTTTATGCCTTTTAATGGTAGAAATGAGCTTTTTGTCCCACTATGCTTGTTTGTTTCTTTTGTATCGACCTGGATCAACTGGAATAAGAACGTGATTGGTTGAACACTGGTCACATGATTGGAAGTCGTTCTGAATTCGGAATGATGGAAACGAAACATTCTTTCTTTTAATATGGATCGTTCAGAGTGTGGTTTCATTTGATACAGTTATTCTACTCTTCTTGTATTCGAAACAACTACTGATATATAGCATTGTTTTTGTTTAAAGCAGATATGACTGTATAGTCCTACTTTGTGTGCCAATACAAAGGAAAAAAATGAATTTTGTACTGTTTTATTATGTATAAAATGTATTTTTATTAATGTTGTTTTTGTAACAAAGAGGACGAGCAGGCTTTGTTACTAGAATTTAAAGGAATGGTTCACCGAAAAAAATAATGTAAAACACAAACGGAGATGTTTAGATGAATGTTCGTGCTGCTCTTTTCCATATACAGTACTTTTACATTTATTGCATGAGAAAAACATCCTCTAAATATCTCTTTTTGTATCCCATGAAAATGATAACAGCATTAATGTTTGGAATAACATGAGGGTGAGTGAATTAGACATCATTCAAATTCGTACACTGCGAAAATGTTTTTCCCCTCTTAGTATTTTCGTCTTGTTTTCCCATTACAAATATCTTAACATTCATAAATCAAGCAAAATTATATAAGAGAGTTGTTTTCTGAAATTAAATGACTCTGTTTAAAACAAGAAAGATATCTGGCAACCCTTAAAATTATGTATTTTTCTTCCCTAATGGTCTGATTTTTTTTTCTCGTTTTAAACATAAACTCACTTAATTTTGATCTAACTTTTTATCGTAAGTATTTTGCTTCTCAAGTTGATTTAAGAATGTTGAAATATTTGTACTGGAAAACAAGACAAAAACACTGAGGATGAAAGTCTACTTTTGTAGTGTCGGTGAACTATTGCTTTTATCACTCTTGAATATTGTTTGAACTGAGTCCTCAAAGCTTGTTAAATGCTTGAATTTCAAACGTTTTATCTTTTTGGCTTTTTTGAGACAAATTCTGATACGTGCCGTCAAAGTCGCCAATATGTTATATGCAAAATAGCCATTGTTATATATAATTGTGGGTAGCGACCTCAATCCCATCGCTACTGCTTTCCTATAAGATCCATAGAAAGCCATGAACCTTGTCTGTGAGGTGTTAGGGATGGTTTGAGATACCCGAATAAATAATATAATCACTGCTGAGACAATGTAGAATGAAATAGTTATAATACGATGATGGTTGCATCGATGGTAAGGGTTTAGAATGGCATGCAGCTGTAATCGCGGTACTTTAGCTGGTAGAAGTGTGACGCCTGTCGATATTCTGTAAATACTTTCGTATGTAAATATTCTTTTCATATTTATTCATATTGCCTCCGTTTACATTCAGCAGAGCTTTGCTCGTTTTTCCCCCTGTAAGATCAACGCTATAGGTAGACATTCGGTCATGCTTGAAGCTGACCGCAAAAATATCCTAGTTGCGTTCTGCAAATCCGGTTTTCCTACAGCAACTGAATGCATAGAGAAGCAGACAATCACAAAACGGGAAGGATTCACAGATTCAAGTCGCTTTCTTTATTTTTATTTACAGTAAGAAGCTCACCTTTCTTTAGGTGTGACTTTGGCACTGTGTTTTATTGTTACTTTTTAAATGTTTTAACTTGCAATAAATCTGCTGTTGATTTGGACAGGTAGTTACTGCAAAGTAAACTGCACTGTATGCATCGCTCTGATCGTAATGTGACTTACGGAGGATATTTGACGATGAGTGGACGATGGCGTGTTCGTGGTTCGTGCTGTAGAACTGGAAAATAAAATGATGACAAGTAAAACGAGTCAGATCTACAAGTATCCACAATATTAGTGCATCCCCATCTAATGTATTCAAACTATGCAGTTGTTGAGTTGCGTGTCTGTATTTGAACTGCAGTTGCTCACAATCCAGGTACTTGCTCCCAGTGTACAGTTCTGCAATGACTGGTTTCAAAATATGAAATAACACTGAAATGAGATTTGTACTTAAAAAAATTATGACATGGTGTTATCTTTTTTTTTTTTTTAGTGCAATAAACTGTTTCTAAAGCTTGGATTTAAGCACAGGAGAGTTTTTATTTCTCAACTTGTTTTTGAAAGAATAGTTCACTCCGAAATGAAAATTTAGGCCACAGGTCATCCAAAGTGTAGATGAGTTTGTTTCTTCATCAGATTTGGAGAAATTTAGCATCACATCACTTGCTCACCAGTGGATCCTCTGCAGTGAATGGGTGCCGTCAGAATGAGAATCGAAGCAGCTGATAAAAACATCACAATAATACACACCCCTCCAGTCCATCAGTTAACATCTTGTGAAGCAAAAAACAAATATGACTGGATTTTGATGTGAGAGGAAAACAGGAGATAGAGATCTGAACTTATTGTTTCGGGAAAAAAAGTTTAATTCGAGAATTGAGCCAAAGCAATTGAGAAAAACTGTAATGAATGTCGTTTGAAGCAAAAAGCTGTGTGTTTGTAATAAATCTATCTAACATTTTTGAACTTCAAACCCTTATATCACAGCTAAAATATAAATCCCCTATCCATAATATTGCTTTCTCCAGTAAAAAATAATTTCCTCTGAATAAGAAGAGAAATGTTCAAAGATCAAGCACTGGTTACAACTGAAAACAGCCCAAAACAGTTCTAAACGAATACAAGGATTTTGATGTGAGAGGAAAACAGGAGATGGACTTTTTCACTGGAGGAAGCATTATTGGCAATTATGGACTGATGTTTTGGCCAGAAGTAACAGTTTAAACGTCTTATTGATTGATTTGGCTCTTACAAACACATAGCTTTTCTCTCCACTTTAAGATGTTAACTGATGGACTGGAGTGGTGTGGATTATTGTGATGTTTTTATCAGCTGTTTGGACTCTCATTCGGATGGCACCCATTCACTGCAGAGGATCCATTGGTGAACAAGTGATATAATGCAAAAAAATTTTCCAGATCTGTTCCCTCGAATTAACAACTCGTCTACATCTTGGATGGCCTGAGGGATTTTCAGAAAATGCTCATTTTGGGGTGAACTATTTTACCTTTAAGTTTGAATGCCCTGATATTTTCCTTGACAAAAAAAAGCAGAGATTATTAACCTGGCCATTCCTGGTTAATGTTTCACAGCTGGTTCTGTAAGGAAATGCAGTCAAATCTGGCCTCAAGCATTTACTGTGATTTGCTAAGCAGAGAGTTAAAGGAAAATTGGTGCAATAGTGTGTGTGTGATCCTAATAACTCGCATTAATACGTTGTCTGTATGAAGAACTGAACCTGCAACATTTGTGTAAGTAGCACAGATCTGGGCAAATGCATACATGCTACTGTGATATATGCTTATTACCCTTGAATTATGCCTGCTCATATTGATTAT